AGGTGAGACATTAGTTCAGCTGCATTACAGCCCAAGAGAGAGGAAATTGGAAGTTTTGAGATGATTCTTTTCATCAAGTGGTCATTTTCAGTACAGTGAACTGAGGAGAAACAAGTGACTCAACTATGTATTGAGGATGTTAAATTGTGTATTAAAGTCTGGTTTCTCTGTATGTTTGAAAATTAATATCTTTTTTCTTGTTCTTGATATTGGTCTGAAAGTTGCTGCCTTTTTAAGGAAGTAGTAGCTAGAAGTGCTGTTCTGAATGTGGAATCCCTGTATGGAAGCTTGCTTCTGCTCTGTCTTTTTGGTCAGGAGGTGGTTGTGGTACTGAGATACTTGGTGAATGGAAGGAGGGAGGGTATGGACTCTCCTATTTGCAGGGTGATGGGCATCTTAGTTTGAGATTGGTACTCATTTTAATAACCAGTATCTCCAGCCCCCCACCATAAAGGAACTTCTGTAACAGAAGCTTTTGGCAAACTGCTGCCTGTGCCAACTACGTGTGCAAACTAACAGCTGAAGATGCAATTGTTTGTCAATTTGTCAAATGTTCCTGTGTCCATCTAAAAGCAAAACACCATGTAACAGATGAGGAGAATAAATGTGAACTATAATTAGTGAAATAATGTTTGAAATGAAGATTAGTCTTCTCCTGTGTGTTTTATTTTGTCTTAAAAAATCAGAGTATTGACACATCTCACCTGTGGCGTTTCGCCTCTGCTGTTAGTTTGTGTGCTGCAGACATTTCAAATAGAAGAGTAGAAACTTCTTGCAGCTTAGCATGAATGGGGGAGAGAAGTACTAATTAGAAATTGCTTGTTATCTCAACTGCAATTGTGTTAATTTACTATAGTTACAGTGTCATTCTATAAATACTATTTTTCTTTCTGCTAGACTCCATGGCAAAAAGACTTTAACTGAATTTGTGTATCAGTTGCTAAGAGTTCTTGGTAGCATTTTGTACTCTTAGTTCAAACAATTAGACTTGAATGACGAATTTTAAGTACATGCCTGCACAGCTTTAATTTTGCCCTCTCTGAAAAAAAAAATTATGTTGCCCGCTCTACCTTTGAACCACGTTGTATAAAAGCTGTTCAAATGTT